CTGAATATTCAGCATCATTATTCCAGATTTTAGTGTCACATGACCCTTCAGAAATCATTCTAATATGCTGATTTATAATCAATGTTGGAAACAGTTGTTTTGCTTAATATTTTTTGGGACTTGTGATATTTTTTCAGGATTCTTTGATAAATAAAAGGTTAAAAAGAACAGTATTTATTCAAAATAAAAATTGTGTTAAATACACACAACTATTAAAAAAAAAAAGTTTGGGGTCAGTACATTTCTTTTTTTTCTTTTTTTAAAAAGAAACTTTTAGAATACTTTTATTCAGCTAGGATGTGTTAAATGGATAAAAAGTGATATTGTTAGAAAAGATTTCTATTTTGAATAAATTACAGCATTGATGAGCATAAGAGACTCCATTTAAAAGAACATTACAAATCTAAAAGATATACCTGTGTGTGTGTGTGTGTGTGTATATATATATATATATATTCTGAACAAAATTTAATTTACAATAAATCATCAAATTATAGATCTATATCACCTGCATGCATCAACAAACTAAAACAAAACATTACAACTCACCATAATAATCATTGGAAGCACTGGACTTGTTTCCCTGCAATAATACGGTACCAACCAGGATGGGTGACAGTGAGACTCGAAGCGTGTTGCAGATGTCCAGTCTGCTCTCTAACTTTGTTTTAGTGGCTGTGAGCACAGAAAAACACACTTCGCGAAGGTATGAAGTTGGAAAATGAAGTAAACATTTTAGAGCCTTAGCAGCTATCTCTGGAATATTCCGTCTTTGTTTTAATCCAAAAGCCTGCAAGGGAGGATGTCTGAAACATACTTTTCAATCCGCCCTCATTTGCAATCTCAATGAGCTGATGCTGTTTATGCACTGGCATGGATGGTTCGCGGGGCACGTTTGCAAATTCCTTTTCATTTCTTGGATCACTTGCATTTGGGATGTAGCACTCGAACTCGGGTGACAGCAGAGCTATGTGTAAAGGGGAAACACTCAATAAATAATACAATGGGATTGCATACAATTGGATCTTCTGGTCTATAGCACTCAGTCCCAATGAAGATTACAGTAACATGTGGCATTTTTTTTTATCTTAGTAAAGACTTTTTCATTCCAACCCTCCCAAATAAGTTGTGGTTATGTAGGTGCCACCTGATTGTAGTTTCGGAGACTTTCTGACCCCAAGAACCAACTAACACCTGCAGTTCTCCAGCAGTGATTTTTATTTATTTATACGTTTATTTGGATAGGGCCAATACAATAAACATGAGTCCAGGCAAAGACTGGAAAAATGCACTGCACATAGAGATTATAACAGGTGCTAATTTTGCATCACAAAAAAAAAATCATTACATGTATAAATAACCAAAATGATTATAATAAAATAACTCTCTGTACCAAAACACTAATGTAACAAACCCTTCATATAAAATCCTCACACATTACAAACAGAATACAGAACAAACACACGCACCTAGTTTTACAGACTCTTCCAATCCTAATAAATAACTAGTAAGGAACCATATGAAAATTTAAATATGCGTACAGGTCTGGTTTATTTTAAGCCAGTGCTTAACCATCAACGTAAAAGACTTTATATCACGTATCACTTTAAACTCATTTGGCAACATATTCCAAAGTTGGGATCCCTTTACAGAGAACGCTCTTTGCCCTTGTGATGTTCTACAAAACCAAATCCTACAGTTTCCAACCTCTGTGCTCCTAGTAGTTCGGCCTGTATCATCCTATCTCTTTACCAAATTACATAAAACAGAAGGTGCCTTATTATGCAAGCATTTAAAAAATCATTTTCACATATGAAACATTTTTAAAATTCGTAAAATTAAGCATATGCCATTTCTTTAAAATATGACAATGATGCCATTGATTTGGCTTTTTAGCCATTATTTTTAAAGCCCCGATTATACAGCATCTCAATGTTTCTAATTAAAGAATCAATAGTTTGAGACCAAACTGTAATACAATATGAGATACAGGACAAAATCATTGTATGCAGGAACAGATGAAGCTGCCTCAGTCGTAACGTAATGCCTAATGAGTTTAAAACAATTTAAATTCATCTTAACAAAGCCTTTTTATATGTTTGTCAAATTTAAGTTGTGAATCTAGAACTACTCCTAAAAAGCGAACTTCATTTACTTCCTCTATTTCTTTGTTAAGTACCCTAATTTTTTTTTTTTTTTCTGTTTTCTTTCTATTAGAAAAACACATAAAATACTAATGTGAGATTATTTTCCTGGAGCCATCTGGATATCTTTTCCATTTGCTAATTTAAAAGTGCCGCAACCTTAGCTGATGACTTAGCAGATGTATATATTACTGTATCATCAGCATACACTCAACATCTGGACAACTACATGGCAGATCATTTATAAACAAACTAAAAAGCATTGGACCTAAAATTGAGCCTTGAGGTAAACCCATCTTGTTTCTCATAAACACTGCTTTTGTATCCTCGATTTTTACACACTGCTCCCTTTGCTTTAGATAAGAGGTAAACCATTCAATTGATTGTTTACTAAAATTAAATGTACTTAATTTAGCAAAATAGCATGGTTAACTGTGTCAAAGGCTTTTTTTTTTTTTAGATCAATACCCATTACATCAGCACCCATTACATGCCCCTGATCCAAAGAAGATTGAGCCTTTTCTAAAAAATAACAAATAGCAGTTTCTGTGCAATGCTGTGGTCTAAAACCAAATTGATGTTGATGAAGGAGATTATTACTTTCTAAATCATTTATTAATTGTTCAGCCACAACTTTCTCTAAAAACTTAGACATAACCGGTAAAATTGACATTGGACGATAATTTGAAATCATGTTAAGATCTCCTGATTTATAAAATGGTGTAACTACAGACTTTTTTCCAAATTTCTGGAAAAATACATTCCCTAATTGATAAATTTACCAAATGGGTTAACGGAGGTATCATCAAGGAGCTATAGTTTTTTAATAAAATTAATATCTAAATTAAAAATATCCTTTGCCGTTGAATTTGGTAAAATTTTTATAATTTCAGTTATTTTATTTTCATCAATCTCCTTAATACAAAATAAATTTAATGCCTCCACCTCCACCCTATTTTCTAATGCTGTTAATTTAAAATTTTGAGCTAATTCATCTACTGAATGAATAAAATATGTATTAAACTCATGTGCCAGAGTAGCTTAATCATTTATTACTTTACCATTTAAATATAACCCTTTAACTATATGTTGATTATGAGTCTTATTTGTTACATTATTTAGTTGTTTCCATAAAACTGTACTTTGTCCTCTAGCACTCTCTATTACACTGAACAAAATTATTTTGTTCACCACAGAATTTCCACAACCACAGCCTAAGGCACACCTGTGCAATAATCATGCTGTCTAATCAGCATCTTGATATGCCACACCTGTGAGGTGGATGAATTATCTCGGCAAAGGAGAAGTGCTCACTAACACAGATTTAGACAGATTTGTGAACAATATTTGAGCGAAATAGGCCTTTTGTGTACATAGAAAAAGTCTTAGATCTTTGAGTTCAGCTCATGAAAAATGGGGGCAAAAACAAAAGTGTTGCGTTTATAATTTTGTTCAGTGTAGTTGTGTATAATATGATCATTTTGACTTCCGTAATTCTTGTACTACTTTATTTCTCAAACCTTTGTAGATTAAATGATCTGTATTTACTTTAGAAGATAAAGCGGTTTTTAGTGCCTTGTCTCTTCTTTTACGAATGTCACTGTTCAGCCAAGGTAATGATATTCTTTTTCTTAAACTTTTCTGAGAGGTATGATACTTATTTAACAAAATAGTCAAATTTT